CAAGGAGTTGGAGTCAGAAAATCAGAAGGGCCGAACTCGCTCAGCATATCTTAAGCTCAAGGAACTGAAGAACAAATTCAAACCTTGAGTTGCTATAATCAAGGACAATAAGATAGATTAAAATAAAAATTACAATAAGATACCCTCTCATTCCACTAGCAGTGGCAAAGTTTAACAGGTCAGCAAGTAATACATGTTGGCGAGGAACTGGCATGATAGGAACTCTTATACAGTGTTGGTGGGATTGTAAAATGCTACAACTCTGGAAGGCAGTTTGTTATTTCCTCAAAAAGCTGAAAATAGAAATTCCGTATGACCCAGCTATTCCACTGCTTGGAATATACCCTGAAAAAATAAGAACTGTGGCACAGTCTTGTACACCCATGTTCACTGCAGTATTATTCACCATCACAAGAACATGGAAACAATCCAACCACTAATGAATGGATTAAGAAATTACGGTACATTCACATGATGGAATACTACGCAGCATGTAGGAGCAATGATTTTATAAATTACTGCCTAACTTGGGAGGGACTGGAGAGCATTATACTAAGTGAACAAACTCAGTCCCATACGGACAAATACTATACAGTATTATTAAAGAATGTTTGTGCGGATACAAGGGAAGGGTTTTGTTCTGACTGATGATATTTAGCTTCTCCACTCTCTAGAGATATTGTCAATGTGATTTATGTGTATTTCATTAGGTGAGGTCCATGTGTATAATTCCCATTCATGTTTTTTTTAATAAAAGGTATTTGAAATGAATAAACTATTGATTGTACAAAATTCTATGGTGTGATATCTGGCATAATTTCTGTCTCCAAAGCCAGATTGTCTAACTAGCAATCTATTTTTGTTTACAACTTTTGCATTCCAGTCAATAATTAATAATGTATTTTGATAACATGCTTGGTCAATCTCAGACAGCAAAAATGATAGCAATCCTCAGTTTTCTAAATTTTGGCTTTAGTGATTTATACGTGGATATTTGACTAATAGTTGTGTCAACAGTTCTTCCTTATATACATAGGATGTTATCCAGCACTGATAGTACTGTATTTCAGTATTGTAGTCTAATTTACTTTGCTAATATTAGCAGCACACCAGTTATAAGAAGTGTCAAATTGTTGAAATCTACTTCTACTAATATTTAAACAGAGAAAACCTTACAGACCAGTTTTATAATACATGAGTGGCCATGAATGAGTGGCAATGAATGAGTGGCAATGAGTTTGGCTCTTGATTTACTATATTAAAAGGAATAAATGAAATCTGTTATGATCTGAAACATGCTATTGAGTGAAAAGAACAAATTGTATGTGAAACATTACTTGATATAATTTATATAAAAATATATAAAATGATACTATTTTTTTCCTATGGGCTTATACACACAGCCTGGATTGTTATTTTCAGTTGTATTATTAAAATTATTGAAACATATTATAAAATATTAGCATAAAACTTCTAATACTTTGGTAAGGGTATAAGCACAATGATTTTTTAAATTATTTTATTATTTTATGTGTGTGTACTATCAAATCGGATCTGACTGGTACAGGAGGAGATTGATCCTCCTTTTCCAGCAGAGCATCTGGTGGATTTGAACTGTGTATCTCTGGGATTGCAGTGCAGCTCCTTGCCACTAGGCCACCAGAGATCCCTCAGCACAATGATTTGAAGGTGTGGTCAAAGTGCATTTCAAAAGGAAAATGATATTTGCCCAGTACTTTTAAAATAAAATGAATTTTTAAAAATCCACTGGATTTGGCAATTAGTATGTCATGGGTGACTTTTGCTAGAATAAGTATCTAAAAGTAACAATTTAGATCACTAATGTGGGGAAAGTAGTCATGCTTACCAGGCATGTGAAACTTCAACAATAAATAAGGATGACCAAAGAAGAAATCAATGCCTTTGAACTGTAGTGTTGACGAAGGATACTGAATATCCTATAGACTGTACAAAAAGCAAACAAGTCTGTACTAAAGGATATGAACTCAAGGTGCTCCTTATATACAAGGATGGTGAAACTCCATCTCACATACTTTGCGCATGTTGTCAAGAAGGTTTACTCCTTGGAAAAAGACATCATGCTGAAAAAGGTGGAGGGTAAAAGAAAGAGAGAAAGATCCCCAACAAGAATGGATTGACACAGTCACAGTGGGCTTGAGCATGTCAAAGATTATGAGGCTGGTATAGAATAGTGCAAGCTTCAGATCTGTTGTTCATAGGCTCACTAGACATAACACATAACAACAAAAACAAAAGTCCTAAAAGAAAAAGCGTGGGAAATGGATAGATGGAACATTACGTCTAGAATGACTTTAATTGTTTTAACATTTAGAAGTGATTTAATCTGTCAATATTCTCTACACACATATGAGCATACATACAAACACTAAGTGTAAGAAGAAGGAGCAATCAGATTGGCTAAAACATGAATAAGAATTGATTACAAGATGAGAGAAAAGGAATAAATGGATGAAGCAAATTATCTTGACACCTTACTTTTCAGGTCTATACATGTTTGTCAAGATACGGTAGATAGGGAAGATGCTTTGTTTCTGAAAAACTAATTTCTGTGGTTTTATACAACATTGTAAAAAGATTTTTAGTGAGAGTGATGCATATGCAACATTTTAAATATTCTAATAATTTTAAACCAAAATATTTGACTAAATGTTTTACTAGGAGAAAATGAGAAAAAAGTTACCCTAATAGAAACGACCATTCCCAGGGAAGCTTCATAATGAAATGAGAAAAAACAGCAGCTGAACATGACTCTAAAAGGCATGGACCCATAAACAATCTTAAACAAACTGCTTTCAGATGCTTCAAAGCCTGAAATGTAAACATATCACATTTAGATAAACTGACAGTAAGCCATAAGAAAGTTTTATATATATAGCAATAGACTGTCTTTTTTAAAAAATAACTTTTACCAAGAATATCTAATTGGAAAGGTTGTCTTATTGAACTTAAAATGTACAGGATAGGCCATTTTACATATTATCATAGTTTGTATTAAAAATAATTTCATATTTATAAAGTGTTATATTTTAATTATTAAAGAATATTCATTAATCTGTGAGAATATTGTTGTTTCTATCTTTAATCTTCTAGTAAATAAGAAAGTGAAAGTATTTTATAGGTTTCTTTTGCCAGTTAACTTTTAGAGATGAAATTAATAGTCATAAATAACAACATAAAAATGTCAAAAAAAGAAAACTTTAAAAACTGTATAATTAACAAAAAAGAAAACTTGAAAAAATATTACTATAAATTTTCTACTAGAGAATATAATAAATTTTCATTGAACACATTTATGCTCTTATGATATTTTCATTAAACTCACACATTCATTATACTTAGTTGAGTTGTTCATATTCATAAATAGTCATAGTTCAAAAACCCAATTTAATTCTAATTCCTAGACAGAAATGTTTTAAAGAATAGTTTAAAAGATGAGATTTTAGAATAATGCTATCAATCAAGGGTAAAATTCTGTGGATAAAAATTAATGAAATAAAAATATTTTTTAAATCCTTAATCTCCCTGAGAAAATAAAAGGAAACACTTTTTATAATTTAATCTTATACTTTCTACTAAAATGTAAACAGTTCTCTATAGATGAGCTATAATATCCCAAATAATACAGAAGTGTTGCTTATGTAACATTAATCTCTAAGTCTCATTAAAGGTCAGACTAAAGAGACCTTACATCATACAATGATTTCTCTTTATATTAAGTAACAATGCTGACTCGAAGCAGAATTTCAGAGATCAACATGTCGACAAAAATATTTTTTTAAATCTTATTTTGCTTACAGACATCACTTGAGTGATACATAAAAGTTTTTGCCTTTTTTATTTTCCATTAGACTCCAGTTTTAAAAATTACTACTCAAGTTATACTGGAAAATCTACCTGTGGATCAAGTCCAAGTCCAGCTCTTATGAGGATGATAGTAAGAGCAGTATTTCTTAAGCTTGAAGACCATGTTCTATTAATGGAGATATATTGATTCAAGATTGGAATATTCCTGAGAATAAAACCAGCTAGTAGCATTCCTTAAAATAAAAACAAACAAAAAACCCAAAGGATAGTTGATTCAGTTCATTTTTCCAAAGGAGAAAAGAAAATATTTCATGTCCCTCTGCACACTATGTGCCTTTTTACTTTGGTGTACGGCAAGTTATATACAGTGGAAAAGACAGCATGAATAAAGGTATGTAGATAGAAAATGATATGCCTGAACGCAGTAGAAATAAAGCAATTTAGGAACTTAAAGAACAAGGATAAGAGTGGAGAGAATGAGTTGGAAAGAACGAGCTGGAGATATATATACATTACATATACATACAAAGAGCTACAAGATAATATTACCTTGAAGTATTTATAAATTAAGGATAGTTTGAACTAGAAGAGCTCCTAATTTACATATAGTCAATAACAAAGCCAGTAATTATATACTTACCAATAAGTGGTGGAAGTTGAGGCACCGAAGGTATTCTAATGATTTCCAAAAGTTTCCCCCCAAGAATAGCACAATAAAAAATAATTAAAAGCCCAAATAAACTTCCACCAGGAAGAACCTCAGGGCCTGTGACTGACCATATGACACACCAAAACAAAACAAGGATAGCTCCTGAAAGAAAACAGAAAATATATGTCAACATAAGCATAGATATACACCCATTTATTTCCTTGCCATTGAGTTGGAATCAACTCATAGTTGACCCTCAATTGAGTTTTCAGAGTCTGTGAATCTCATAAGAGGAAATTGCCTTTTTCTTCACAGAGCAACTGGTGGATTTGAACTGCTTGCCTTTGGGTTCGCAGTGCAACTTCTTCCCATTAAGTCATCAGAAGTCATACACACACACACACACACACACACACACACACACACACACACACATTGTTGTTGTTATGTGCTATAGAGTCAACTACAACTCATAGCTATCCTAGGACTAACGGATCTGAACCCTGCCCTATCTTGTGCCATCCTCATAATTTCTGATGTATCTGAAACCATTGTTATAGTCACTGTGTCAATCCATCCTGTCGAGAGCCTACCTTTCTTATGCTGACCCTCTACCTTTCTGAGCAATATGCACTTTTCCAGAGACTGGCTGCTACTACCATGCTCAAAATATATGAGATGAACTTCACCATCCTTGCCACCAAGGAGCACCATGGTTGCACCTTCTCCAAGACAGATGTGTTCATTCTTTTGACAGTCCACTCAGTACTCTTCTCCAATATCACAACTTAGATAAATATACTGATCCTTTTTCTGTCATCCTTAATAATTTTCCAACTTGCAGATGCATAATAAGTAATTGAGAATATCATGGATTTTATCAATTTGTCTTTAAACTGACATTAGTTTTCTTTAGCACTTTAGAAATGTCCTTGACAGCAGATTTTCCCAATGAAACACGTCTTTTGATTCATTAATTGCTGGGTAAGGTTGTTGATTATTGATTATGGATCCAAATAAGATGAAACTGTTGATAATTTCTATCTTTGTTTGTTTCCTCGATGTTGAGATGTAAACCATATTGAAGGCTACATCTCAACATCAAGGAAACAAAAATCTTTATTACTTGGTCAATAGGCAGAACTCTGATAAAGAAAAGATAGAAACTTTCAGATGTATAACAAGTAATTGAGAAGCTCATGGCTTGGATCAGATGTACCTTAGTCTTTAAACTTATCACGTTGCTCCTTACAACTTCAGAAAGGTATATATATCAAATGCAATCCATTTTTTTAATTTCTTGGTGTGAAAAGTATTAATTGTGAATCCAAGCAAGATCACAGAGTTAATGTACCAAAAGGAAGTAGCAAATGATCAAGAACCAATGGTTATAAGGACAAAGTTCAATCTGATGATAGAAGAAGAATCAATGCCTTTGAGTTGTAGTGCTGGAGAAGAGTAATGAATATCCCATGGACTGACAAGAGAACAAACAAATAGGTCTTGGAGAAAGTGCAACCAGGGTGCTTCTTGGAGGCAAAGAATAGTAAAGTATCATCTCACATATTTAGAGCATATTGTTTGGAAGGGCTCGGAACAACAGGCTTAATTAAGTATATAAGAGATGATGAGGATGGTACAGAATAGGACAAAGGTCAGAGCCATTGTTCATGGGGTTGCTATGAGTTGTAGCTGGCTCAAAAGCACCTAACAACAATAATTATGAAAAGGGGAGTTCTGGTGGCTTAGAGGTAAGGAGTTACACTGCCAACTCAGTAACTTGGTTTGAATCCCATGTTATATGGGAAATGTAAAGGATCAGCAAACAAAAGCAAGACTCAATGAGAATGTCTGAGATAATGACTACCACAATGGATTTAAGCAAACAGATTATGAGGATGGTGCAGGATAGAGCAAGGCTTAGATCTGTTGTTTATAGATTCACTATGAGTGGCAGTCAACAGCACTTCACAACTAATGTATTGTGTGTGTGTGCATATGTGCATAAAATATATTTTAGCAAATATATGTATACACACACATGTATGTGTATATGTGTGTGTGTATGTGTGTATATAAGCTCTGGTGGCCTAGTGGTAAGAAGCTGCACTGCAATACCAAAGCGGTTCGAATCCACCAGATGCTCTGTAGGAGAAAGATGAGCAATCTCCTTCCATGCAGTTAGCTGCCTGTGAAAACCCACTGGAGAATCAGCTACGGAACGGTTCTGACTCAAAGGCACACAACAACAACAATCTCTATCTCTATCTCTATATCTATCTATCTATCTTGCTTTTTAAGTTGGTTTTCATACAGTCACTCATATATATTGTACTTCGTTCATGTACATTGTGTTTCATAAAATCACAGTGTGTTTGATATAATGACTATTATTCAATGCCCTTTACAACTTCATCTCATCAAATCCTTATTACCCTATGGCTATTCTTTCACTCCCTCCTCCACTCACCTATTAATATCGGCTGCTTTAGTGAGATCTGTATTCTTCTTCCTTCTCCTTTTTACCCCTCCCCTTTTGAACAGTTATGCTGTTCCTATTTGCTAACTGCATTAGCCATTTTGTACTTCTGTTAATTTTCCCCAAGTTGATCCTTCTTTGTCCTGATCCTTTACAGTGTTCATTCTAATTCTACTCTCCCAATCACCACCTTTCCAGTTACCCTTCTATTTTCATAGTAACAGGCTTATGTAGTATTTATCCTTTTCTCAATAAGTTAATCCACTCAGCATAATGTCCTCGAGACTCATGTTGTGCAGTATTTTATGAATTCATTGTTCATTATTGTTTCATAGTATTCCACTGTGTGAATGTAGCATGGTTTATTTATTTTTTATGAGCATTTGAGCTGTTTCTATTTTTTTTTCTATTATGAATAATGCTGTGATGAACATAGGTGTACATATCTCCATTTATGCCTCAGCTCTGACTTTCTGAGGGTATATTCCTATCAATACAGCAAATGGAGCAATGGGGGTTGGTGTGTCGGAGTTAGTGAGACTGGCTCAGGACAGGGAAGGGTTCAGAGCTGCTGTACATAGGGTCACCATATATCGCAGGCCACTCAATGGCACATAACAAAAATAATATATTATGACAGGTTTGGAAGCAGGAGTGGCATCCACTTCCTAAATAACATGCCTCTGGAAACTCCATGAACTTTGATAAATGTCCATGGTTGTAGAGGGGCTTCAGGCCTTTTATTCATGGGGTTGCTATGATTTGAGCTCGATTCGAAGGCAATCAACAACAACATATTCCTAGTAGTGGAACAGCTGGGACATAAGGGATTTCTATATTCACTTTTTTGAGGGAATGTCAAACTCCCTTTCATAGTGGTGGTGGTGATTGTTGTTGAGTACTATTGAGTCAGAACCAAACTATAGCTGACCCTCCAGCAGTTTTTCAGAGGCTGTTAATCACACAGGAGGAGATTACCCATCCTTCTCCTATGAAGCAGCTGGTAGATTCGAACCACATGCCTTCAGGATGGCAGTGCAGATTCTTTCCACTAAGTTGAACCACTTTAAAAACCTATCAGAAAATATTTGCAGGACTGAGAACTCTGTTGGACAATTTGAGGGAGAACTAATACTTGCAGCATTGAGAACTTTGTTGGACAATTGGGGAGGTAAGCCAATACTTGCAGGACTGGGGACTTGGGAACACTGTTCTGGAGCTATGAGGCTTGAGACTAAGGTGCCTATATACATATTTTGGGAACTGTCTGGACTGTATTGTTATTAATCTGGATTATAAACTTTTGACTCCCCCTTGGGGAAAAAAAAATCCTATCAGCAGTGCATGAGAGTTTCTCTCTCGCACCCTTGCCATCATTTGTTGTTTGCTATCCTGTTACAATTTGTTACTGCTTCTGGGATGAGATGATATCTCACTGTTGCTTTGATTGGCATCTCTCATCTAGTTAGGGAGTTCTGGTGGCCTCGTGGTAAGGAGTGGTGCTAAATTCACCAGCTGCTCTGTGGAAGATGGTTAGTTTCATCTTGTTTGATTCTGCCTCTGAAAACCTGCTAAAAAGTTAACTGAGTTAGGTCTGCCTTGACAGATAGAAGGATGTCTACTTTTTTAATTAACTATGCAAAATCACTTGACTGTGTGAATTATAAGAAATTATGGCTAATTTGAAAAGACTGGGAATCCACACACTTAATTATGCTAATATAAAACCTCTATCTACACCAAGAAACTATTGTATGAACAAGGCAAGAGAACACTGTGTGGTTAAAAATCAAGAAAGGGGTGCATCAGGGCTGAATCCTTTCTCTATGTTTATTCAATCTCTACGTTGAACAGATCACTGAAGAAGCTGGAATTTATGTAAAGTGTGGCATCAGGATTGGAGGAAGACTTATCAACAACCTGTGTTAAGTAAGCAATGATGGAACCTTGCTCATCAAAAGTGAGACGAACGTGCAGTGCTTAATGTCAAAGATCAAGAATTGTATTGCCTTCTATATAGACTGCTATTGAACATCAAGAAAACAAAAATCCTTATCCTGGGGCCAGTAGGCAGCATCATAATAGGTGGGAAAAGAATGGAAATTGTCAATGAGTTTATCCTACTTAGATACACAATAAAATTCTTTGGTACCAGCAGTCAGGAAATCAAGACACGCTGCATTGGGAAAATCTGCTGTCAAGGACCCCTCCAGAGTGCCAAAGAGCAATGATGTTAGTCTAAAGACTAAAGTGCATCTAATCCAACCCATGATTTTTTTCAATTACTTGTTATACATCTTAAATCTGGACAACGACTAAGGACAACAGAAGACTTGATGCCTTTGAGTTAGGTGTTGTCAGAGTTTACTGAATATTCCATGCAGTGTCAAAAGAACAAACAAGCATTTCTTGGAGAATGTGTGATCAGGGTGGTCTTGGAAGAAAGAAGAGTGAAGCATTGTCTCACATACTTTGGGCACTTGTGTGTCAGGAAGTGTGAGAATGGCACAGGATAAAAAAAAGAGTTCATCTTTTGTTCCTAGGGTCACTATGTGTTGTACTTGACTTGATGTCAATAACAACAACAACAACAACAATATTGGGTCTTAATGAAGTTGATCTTTTCCTCTCCATGTAGTTTCTTCCTGATGCAAATGATGAATGAATGTATGGCTGCTAATCA